GTGGAAACTCAGTAGGGATGCTCAGGGTGCAGGGAGGGGAATATTAGGGAGGCCCCAGGCTCTGGAGGAGAAAAAAGCTCCTAAGGAAGGCTGGGGGCAGGGGCAGTCAGGGAGCTGTGAGAGCCCCAAGGCAAAGGCAGCTCTTCCTTTAACCTTTAGGCTCGGCATAGCGTAATGTCTACCTAAAGGCTGGAATAATAAAGTCTAGGTCGCCGAGACGGGAAGGAATGAGGTCATCCCACCCAGAGGCCCAGCCAGGGAAGGTGGTCTCCCTCCAACACGTGTTCCAGGAGCGCCCTCCTGTCCGACTGTCTGTTCTCTGCAAGTCTGTGGTCAGAGCTCTCGCTACCTACCTGGAGGCTATTTTGCACCAAGAAGCAGGTTTTTTCTACCATGCAAGCTCTGAGTTGGCTAGGGGGTGATCATCACCTGGGCCCCATGCCTCTGCCATCCTGCCTCTCCTCCACCCCCTCTTTGCTCTCCCATCAAGACATTCCAGTGCAGAGCAGCCCTGACTGCCCACTGCAAGCCTGCACACTTTGTCAACAGCCAGTCCACAGCAGAATGTTGGACTAAATGCAGGACCCTTTTGTTCAGGAGAGGCCTTCTGAGTTCCTTGCAAGCCCCCAACCCACAGTCTACCCTGTAGGAACTAAGGGCTCTGCTCTGTCCCAATCCCCACCTCCATCCCAGAGATCACAAGGCATTGCTTTGAGCCCTTCTGATCTCCATAAGTCCCCTTAAATACCAAAACCTCAATTCTAGCCAAAGCTTGGTGACAGCAGGGTCAAACTTGGGAACCCAACATCTTGATCAGAACAAACTCCAAGAACCTTTATACTCCTGATTTATTAGTAGTTCTGGGATAGCCAAACCAACACTGAGCATGTGCAAGAAAAGACACCAGAGACCTCTGTGAAATGAGCAGTTCTGAGATTCCCACTGCAGGGGCGTGCTAGATAGAGGTGAGGCAGAACGTAAGGTCTCCCCACGATTTCCCAGGAGTCTCTCAATCCATCTTTGCCAGAGACCCTGACATCACAGACTCCTGCCATTTATACCCTGACCTCAAAGTCCTGTCCCAGAGGCTCCTCCAGTTCTCACACCTCTCTGAAATACAACCTTTTATATTTTTCTTTTTTACATTCATTCATGTGTGTGTGAACACATGAGTGTGGGTGCACATGCCACAGTACACACACGGAAGACTGCAGACAACCCAAGGTAGTCAGTTCTCTCCTTCCACCCTAGAGATGCTCGGGATCCAACTCGGGTCTTCAGTCTTGGTGGCAAGCCACCTTCACCTTCACAGGCATCTCAGCAGCTCTCTGGAGGCATCCTTCTACAAATGTCTGAGCTGGTACAATAGCATAGGCTCACACACACATCCTACTGGGGCCAAGGACTGTTGGGTTCAGAGTTGTTCTGCAAACTGAAGCTGGGACCCTATGCTGGCGCAGCCAATGGCTCCTTAAGATTGACCACATTTACTGATGCCTATAAGGACTCCTTCATGGATACCTGAGTAGGTAGAATGTCCAAGTTTTCTCAGATATAGTATGGAAAAGCTACACCCAAATGGCACCTCATTCTCGATTCAGGATATAGAGCTCAGTGACTCTGCCTTTGGCCTATTTTAGTAACTTCTGTCCTCTGGGATAGGGAAACCCAGGAGAGTCAGGTCCCTCCCTAAACAGACACATTCAGCCTTCTCCCAATTTTCAGGGTGGTGAAGGCATCCTTCTGCAGCACTTTCAGTTTTGATTCTGTGGCCTTGGCCCTGGCAGGTTTTGGCTGTAACACAGAGCTGGAAGAGCCAAGCCCATTTACCACAACCTGCGTTGGCCAAGATCTGGGGCCCAGTTCTGCTGTCCTAAGCAGTTTTAGAGGAGGTAAGGAGGGCTGGCCAGGAGTCCTGAGCCAAGCCAAGCAGACCAACTGAGCCCCATCTGGAGCTGGGTCCAAGCCCCAGCAGCTGTGCGGGTGGAGCTGGGAAACGCCAAGTCAGCCACATTCCAGACTCTTCTTTGCAAAGCCATCAGCAAGCACCAACTGCACTGAACCAAGAGGATGAGGCCATTGCGCCCGCTCTCTCCTTAGGAAGCTTGTGAAGGAGTAGAAGGCTCACACAGACAAAGCTGGCTGTCCCTAGAGTGCCCTAGAGATGGACACCTAGATAAATAGCCTTTCTTCCAGACGGACGGTCTGAAAGAAGTTTGCAGTGCCCCTGCGGGTGTACCAGTGACAGATGTTTCCACAGACACCCAACTAACTCTACATTGTCTAATTTTAGATTTGGGCAGCACTGTTTTTGGTCACTGAATCAGGCTAGGAGGCCAGAAGCGGAAGCTGGCACTTCCTTCTCTCCCTCTCTCCCTGCATCTACCCAGTCTTGAGAAATCTATTTATTTGATGCAGAAATCTTCAGTCAATCATCCCTCACTACTGAGTTGTGCTCCCATCACCCTCTTGCTAACAACTGCTCTCCTGGTCCCCATCTAACTTCCCCTGGTTTTGCAGCATAATACCATCAGGATGGTCACTCAAAAGTGTTCTCCACCACCATGGTCCCTGACGCCTCTGGTGTGACTCAGTTGGCCCAACACAACTTGGGCTCTGTCCAGCTCTGCAGCTCCACCTCCGACTTGTCCACACCACACCCCAGACCTAATCATACCATTTTGCCACTCCCTCCATCTGCCCCACCTCATCCATCTCCCATTGCTCACATGCTCCTCTGCTGAGAAGCCCTTGCTCCTGGTACAACAGGGTCAGGCTTTTCCCCCTGTGTAAGTGAAATGTCACCTCTATTGTCAGCTCTCGTATGCCTTCCCTGCCCTGAGTCCTGGAACCTCTTATCAGCTTCTGTAATCACACTGGCTATATGATATAGTCTCCTGGGTATGTACCGCTCCTCCATGCCAGGGACAGTGCCCTTTTCTTCAGATGCTCCCCAGGAACAAGCATAGACTTATACCAAGGGCAGGCTGGGAAGTAAGAGTCAGTACAAAGCCATGTATGACAATTACCATGTCTGACAAGTTGAGGAAGGGAATGATTGACTTTCTATGCCACCCAAACATTCTCTCTCCCTTCTCCTTCTTCCCACAGTCTCCATGTGGAACTGTTTCCCACTGGTGTCCACTGATGCCCTGCTTTAATTGTTAAACCCCGAGAGGGAAGGGCTGGATATGGCTTCTTTACCCTCGGATATGCCTGCAACCTTTGCTCTCAATTCCAAACTAAGTCCAACACCCAGGAATTCTGCATTTCCTGATTTGCTTCATCAGCCCTATTCCAGATCTGCTGCCTGATCTCCAAGAGCCCCGTGCCCCCTGTCTCTCCATCACAGAAGAATGGCTGGCAAGTGTCTGTCTATACAGCATCCTAAGTCCATCAGACTGAGGCAGAGTGCTGGGGGGACCCTGCTTACAAAAGAATCACAATGAATCATCCAGCCTTACATTTAGACTTGCAATAGTAAGTGGACTATCAGATCTCCCCCTGTCTACTGTATCTCCCATTCTTCTGGCTAAGTATTCGTCGGCATATGTTGAGTATCTACTATGGGATCTAAATTCTAGGAATACAGCAGGGAAGGACCTCTGAGAAGGTAGTCTGTCACTATACCGGACAGTCACCAGAAAAAGGGAATGACATTCTCGACTGAAGGGGCAGCTAGTGTGAGGGTCTCAGGACAGCCAGTGTAACCTTGGAAGGAAGCTGGAAGGACCATGACAGTGGGAGGGGAACGAGAAGAGCAAGAGGTCAGCAAGACCTTCCTGAGGGCCATTAGGGTACAAGTCGGGGCTTCTGCTCAATGCAATGAGAAGATTCAGGAGAGCCCAGGAGGGCTAGAAACCCTGGTGCTGCCCGTATAATGCTTGCCCACTTTCTTCCTTCTTCACGTCACTCTCTTGCCTGATTTCTAAACTATTTCTTGGTCTATCTTGTCTTCCTGTTGATTAAAAATCCAGCCCTTGGGTAACACATATACCCAAATAGTCCAAACCTCTCAACTCTGTCAAAACCAAGCATGAGCCAGTTAATAAAAGTTTAAAATGAAAACTGTGGTTTGGGAAGTGTTTTTTAAAAACTTCCTTGACCCTAAATTACACCTAAAAGAGGAGTTAATTTTTTCAAGTACTTCCCTAAGAATACGTTGGGATGAAAGACATTGTGAATTTCCTGATTTTTATTGCCTGTAAGAACCTCTTTGTCCTGCGACATGAGAGCACCAACCCTAACTTCCCTTGGTGGCAGGGCTGTCTATGATCCCCTTCCTGAAGCTAAGACCATACAGTCCTAGGTCCATGACTCCTGTAAAAGCCAGGAGAGGGGGTGTCTCTGCAGGGCCTAGACAGAACTTGCAGCCAGAACCCCTGAGCTGGTGAGTGGGCCTTGGTGGGCCCACCCAGACCTGAGGTTTCTGTGCCTGTGCATTCTCCTTTATTTATGTTTTCTCTCCTTTTTCTAAACAACATAAAATACAGAACTCTAAATGCACTGGTTTTTCCATATATATATATATATATATATATATATATATATATATATATACAGACACACACACACACACACGCACACACGCACACATACATATATACCTATGGCAATTCCTAATTACAAATGAAGAACATGTATCCATAAAGCCCCAGAAATAACCAATAGTAAGATCATTATAACAAACATAATAAAAGTTATCACAAGCTTATAGACTGCTTTCTTTCTAGAGTTTTCCAGTCAGTTCTTTTGGTCTGCAGTTGGTTGTGAACACCTGAAACCACGAAAAGGAATACAGAGGACAAAAAGGGACGGCTGCACTTTGTGCCTGGGTTTTCATCAAGCAGCTGTTGTTGAGCAAGCTCCGGGCAATGCTTGCCGATAGGCACGTGATCGTGTGCAGTTGCAACACTCAAGCCTCCCCTCCTCCTGACAACCGGGTGCATCGCCTCTATTTCAGATGTGAGCTGCTGACGCCGTGGGAAGCCTTGGAGCAGCTCTCATCCATGACCTGTCAGACCCTGTCTCCATCTTTCTCAGATTCCGTGTTGTGCTCCCTGAGAGGGAGGCTTGGCCGGCATGCCCCAGGTGAGAGGAAACAGAGCCATTACCAGAAACCAGCCTTGACCTCATGGAACCCTGAAGTGCTCAGAACAGGCACCCAGACAAGTATTTTAAAGAAATATAGCCAGTGTACACTGTTTTTTCCTTTCTTTTCTTTTAAAAGTTCTGTCTATGTAAGATCTCAGATCGTGAACTCTATGCTCCGAACAGGATAATAAGAGCACGGCACTGTACCGAGCATCACAAGGATGACAACTTAACCATCGTGACCGGCTGAAATGTGACGCCTGTTGACTAAAATGTCCCCATTTCTGCAGGTATGGTTGCACACAACAGTGAGCCCAGCACTCAGAAGGCAGAGGCAGGGGAACCACAGCAAGAACAGGGCCATTGTTCAAAATGGATTAAAAAATAAATCAACAGTCCTGACAAGCACATGTCTGTACCCTGACTCTTAGGTTTGGCCCACGCAAGTGGAACCATAGCCACCTGTCCTTTTTGACAGACTTATTTCACTTAACATGGTGTCCTCAGTGTGACACAGTTGCCTACTGGAAACCAAAAAACTAGCCCACTGTACACACGCACACACATTTCTCTTCTAACTCGCCCTTTGGTGGAATTTAGATTATTACACACCTGAGCTAGGAGCACTATAACTCTGATGCAATGTAGAATTCTCAGGCTGGCTGACTTTGTCCAGCTGGGGATGCAAAATCATTACAGCCGTGCTCATGGTCCAAGGCCCCATCCTAAATCCCAGCCAGTGGCCACTGCCACACTTGTCTTTCTAAGGGACCTAGAGTCCTTGTCATTCTTTGCAGCAGTTCTGCTTCCAGGGAGATGCCGGGGAATCAGGGTTCCTTTGGTGAGCCACACAAGCCCAGTGCAAGCTGCCCATCTTTGGTACTATGCCCTGGTACCCCTTCTACTGCTTTATGGAATCTAATACCCCCACCCTTCATTCCTGCCCCCTCTAGCCCCTGCTATGCCTTCTCTATAACTCTGTAAGGACAAGTCTTCTTTAGCGTGTCTCACAGAGCCTTGGGACCAGGAGTCTACCATCCTCTTCCATCTTCATCATCACTCCGTCATCTTCCTTCTGCTTCTCCCATTCTTCCTCTTTCTCCATCCCCCAGCCCAACCATACTAAATTACACTTACCACACATTAGCTATGTCTAATATCTGTCTATGAGCTAGTATACTCACTCCTCTGTCCTCTTTGAGGGGAGGGACATCCTCCTATTCCAGGATGCCATGGTCAAAGAGTGCTCAGATGATGGATGCGTGCATGACGGATGTTCCGACCACCGACACAATGGGCCCAAATCAGTTGGCTCAGAGAGTCTGGCTACCAGAGAATTGTGCATTTCAGCTCTGGGACTACTCCTGCTACCATACTGACTGCTGAAACAAGTCCACTTTGTCTACGGGAAGATGAGATTCTACTGTCCACAGTTTTTTGTGATTGCCAGGAGGTCAAAGGGACACATGATTCCTGCCTTCCCAGGGGAGAAAAGAAATCACTAAAGCCTGTGGTCCTCCCTGCTCTGCCTGTGTGCCCTGTCCTCATCCGATGCCCACCACCCTTCCTGCTTTTAAGGATTTTTCACTCCTGGGGATGTATGTCTGGCAGAATGCTCGCCTGGCATATGTGAAGTACCAGACTCAATTCTCACTACTGCAGAAAAGACTCTCACTTCTGTGTTCCCCGTTTTGGGTAAAATATCTGTAACTTTTCCAATAGGCCTGCAAATCTGTTATCAAAGCTAGAGGAAAGCAGATCAAAATTTTCGGAGACCAAGAAGCAGGAATATTTTCACCGACAAGTAGAACAAAGCTGTGGGCACATGCTCTGGAGAAGAACAGGCTCCCAGGCCCTGGCCTCTCTCCCAGCCTCCCTTCCTATCTAAAGAGTCCAGGACTACACTGTACTGCACCTGAGTCTCGCTCACATTCTCACCTCCCACCTCCAGTGGGCGCTGCTGAGTTAATGGCCTGAACCATGTCCGTGGTGAGAGCATCCAGCAGGCTGGTAATAAATTCCATCTTCTTCCCTTCAGGGCAGCCTAAAAGACAAGAGGAGATTTAATGGCAGAATCCAGGTCACTTACCACGGCAACAGCTTCCTCGACCACCATCCCCTCGGAGTTTTTGTCCAGCCAAAGACTGGGGATGTGTTCACTGCTCAGACGATTGCTACAAGCCTCTGCCCTTCCCCTATGCCTAATTCACAGGGGAGCACCAGACCCAAAGGATAATAACGCTTTCAGCTTCCTTCCATCCCACGACGTCCTGCTGAGTACCAATGCAGGTACCATGTAAATGCTAGGGAGAGAGCAGATGAGGTTCTTGGCCTCACAGACTTCACAATAACGTGCCGAGCCAAAGGACCCAAGACAGGCACTGTTCATATGAGAAACACCGCTCTAGGGGCAAGAACTAAGCATTGAGGAAGCAAAAAGGAAGGAGAGAATCCTCATGGTGCCAGCTGATTTGAGTGGACCTACCAAAAGAATTTAAAAAGAAATCTCCTCTTTTTGCCCATCTTTTCCCAGCTGAGATGATAACTGGACTTCTCCGTAGATTCCCACAAGTTCCTATTCTTGGTTCACTATTTCAGTAAAAGCCCAAACATGGCTAAGTCTCCTCACAGGTGCGCCTGTCCCAGATCCACACCACAAAGATGAGCTGGGGAAACAGCCCCCACCACTGCAGCGATGAGAGCCCTACTCACTTGCACAGCCGCAGCCCTGCCTTTACCGCTGCAGCAGCTAGGCCCTTCTTTCTCCGAGCCCCAAGGTCTCGAGTTAATTATGATCTCTTAGAGCAGTACAGACCCTAAAGTGGGTTCCTGCTATCATTCCCACAGTGCCTCCCTCCTCTCCTGAGAGGACCTCTCCTGAATCTCTATGCGCATGCCTTCCTTTGTCGTCACATGACTCGTCTTCCTTACTCTGTGAACCTCATGTCCCTGAGCATTGGGTTAAACCATGTCTGGCACGAAGTAGAATCGCTATTCTCACCCTGCTGAGGTGTGGCTAGAAGAAGTACCCTGGCCTCCAATTTCATGACAGTGATTTCTACTGACTTCACATGGAAAGTCCCGGACTTTTGGGACTCCTGCTCTCGGTTCTCATGTTGGAGTCCTGATGGAGAATAGGAAGATGGCACCAGTTCCCGTCAGTACAGACCTAATTTTGTACTGAGTAAAAACTGCTAATGAGCACGATCTTAGATGGCTCCCACCTCTGCAGAAGTGTGGGGGTGTTTTCTCCGGCGATGCTCCTTGTGTGGATCTAAGACAAAATCACCTGGGAGAAAGCACCCCTGTGCTTGGGCTTTCTCTAGAATGGGCATTAAAAAAGACGGACTTACAGGGAAGAGTCTACCATTCACATATCCTGTATTTAGAATTCTTACTATGACTCAGAGTTCACTACAAATAAGGGGAAATCCAATCTAGTAACAATTTGGGGGTCCTAGGCTCTTGCCAGAATATCTCATGTCACCCCTAGTGGCCATGCTATGTCATCAAGGATTATCATAAAAGCATCCCTCAGAGCAGGTGGCAGACACCACCCAGACCCCAAAATATTGTCCCTACTTCACCAAGAAGGAGAATGGCCATCAAATTCCAGGGACAGAGTTTTAAGGGCATGACTACATTTTTAAGAGGAGGAGGAAAGAGCATGGGAGGGGAGCAATGTTCTCAAGGGCACAGGATTAATTCCGGATGCAGATTTTATGGTTTCTGGGTCTATGCCCCTGTGATGGAGTTTCCCAGCATGCCTTGCTCTATGCTGCCAGCTGGGAAAACAGATGTAGAGGAAAGAGTGGTCTCTGCACGGTGAGGGGACCAGAAGTCCAGAGAAGCAAAGGTGTCCCCTACCTGGCAACTCCCTGTCCTTGAAGGGGTCGTCCGCCTCTGCACTCTTGGCTCTGGCTTCACTCTCACAGCTTGGCATCACATAGCTGGGAGGAGAGACAGAAAAACGAGGTGGGGGGTCGGCGACTGAGTCTTCTTCAGCCACTACTGCCCGGAAATGATCTGTGTAACCACTAGGCCGAGAGCCCTCAGGGAGGAAAATAAAACAGTCCCTGAACTGTCCAGCAGCTACAAGACAATCCAGCACAAATGCTCCCATTGAGACATGTTTAGGCATGTCACTTTAGCCATGCAAGCGTGATAACAATGCCATCTCCGATCTGCACACGGGACCTTTTTTTGATATACAGGACTTTGTTCATAACCTGGTGGTACAACAAGCTTGTCATCAGGGAACTGAGGTTGAGAGAGATGAAGTAGTTTTCCAAGGTCCACAGTTAGAAAGGAACAGGTCTGTGGTCAGAATCCAGGTCCCTAGACCTTCATCTGCTTTGGGATGAGACCCCAGAGAAGCAGGGCGGTGACGACAATGACAGCATAACCAGAAGCTGGTCCCCGTGTGATGCTCTGAGAAGAGGTCTTACCGTGTGGACGTCCCAGGCACTGGGCGCCCTGTGTCCACTAGGACACACCAACAGTAGCCCGTGGACTGGTGACATTGCACCGGTTTATAAAGTCCGCCAGGGGCGCACTCTGGGATCACAATGCCCTCGCGGGGATTCTGTCGGGCCTCTTCCAGGGCGCTCTGCCTCTCCTGGTCACAAGAGTGGACTTTCTCTGTAAGAGAAGATGCAGCTAATGGTGACGATCACACCTCTTTCAGTCCAGGATCCAGAAAAAATAGCCAGGACCAGTTCTGTCCCCAAGAAACTGATGAATCATCCCAGACAACCATGTCTTGCATGCTGCCAAGGTGAAAACCTCAGAAGGCCAGAGCCTCCCTATGGCCATCTACACTGCCAGAGGCTCATCAGCGCTTTCACCAAAGAGGTTCTCATGTAGCAACAAACCAGCCAGGCCTTCGGGGCTACTTCTCCAAGCAGAAGTTTCCTTCAGAATTGGAATGTTCCTCCATTTTCAGAGTTGTCCCTCCCTGCCTTGATACACTGTCTATAGGCTGCAGAGAGGCAGCAGAAAGACTCCCCTGCAAACGGATACTGGGATAACTGTGCGAAGGGACACTCCCTAATCCAGGGATGTCAGGACAGAACCAGAGACCACCACCTTTATCCCAGGTGATGCTCCACACCCAAATGAAAGAGCAACAAGAACCAGCCTTGGTTCCTTTCACCCTCCAATACAGGTAGACAAAGAAAGAAAGCCAGTGGGCAGATTCTTCTGTCAGACAGGAACAGGAGCAGCGGAGGTAGAAGGGTGTCCATACATGGTAGCTTCAGGAACACGTGAGCATGTCCAAAAAGCCAAACCAAGTCTCTCCATAGCCAGGTCCAGAGACAGTAACTGGGGCCCAACGCCAGATGCAGCCAGCTAACAGAAGCTTCACTCCTGCAGGGCCCTTCACTGGAAAACCCTGCCCACTAAATCACCCTGGCTTCTCTTCCTGATTTTCTTTTTCTTTCTTTCTTTGGTTGGGGGCTTTATTTTGGAGGTAGGCAGTGTTATTGTTTGATTTTAAAATTTTGTTTGTTTGAATCACTTAGAAAGTAAAGTGTTGAGCTTGTTTCCTTATCACAAATAACATTTAAAAAAAATAAAATCTGTACAAACCATATGGCCCCCAACGGTAACGCCTCCACCTTCCTTAGATCTTGTCAGGCAAACACCAACACAACTTCAAGGGGATTACACCAGAGCCTCGGGAGAGCTCTCCCCGCTCCAGTTTGGTAGCCTCATTTTCCTACCTCGTATTTCATGCCATGAAAGAGCTGACCAAGAAACAAAGGCAGAGGAAAACAGCTTTTACAGGCACCACGTTCTGTAACGACCTCTGACAGGGGCTTTAAATCAAGACTCTCTAAAGCCAGCCTCTCCAGCCATAAATCAGACCATAGCAAGATGCAAAGGGGCAGAGGAGGAACTCCTCCCCCTTCCACTGGCGCGGGCATGATGAACCTAACTTCACACCAGCGGGCCTGAAGCCTGGAGGAAGTCGGGACAAGAGGGAGGCAGGAAGAAGAGCAGACCCGTGGCTTGGCCCCCTGGATGGAGTTCTGGACATTCTTAAAGGTTTACTGTCAGCTTCCATGAACACCTATGGATAATTAAATCATAAAAAAGGGAAGCTCTCAAATCTAGAAAAATACAAATTAGCATGGAATTAAAGAGAAGACTAAATATAGGATTTAGCGCTTTAACGTCCACTCTGAAAGTCTGGGTGCCCTGTGAGAAAAACACAGGAATGACAGAATATCTAGGCTGGGGCAATGGTCCAGTAGGTAAAGTGCCTACCAACAAGTATGAAGACTTCCGTTCAAATCCCCATTATCCATATAAAAAGCCTGGCGTGGGCACCACAATTCTATAGCTCCACCAATTGGTGGGACAGGGACAGATCCAGGAGGATCCCTGGAGCTCATTGGTCAGTCATCCCAGACGAGCCCCATGTT